ACTGTATAAATATGTATAGGTATTTGATATTTGATAGTGGTGGGATATATAAGGCCACTATCTTTTGTCGCTTGCATCCCTCAAGTATCCTGGCCTGGCTTCACCAAGGTGCGCTGCCATTGGATCACCCATTCCGAGCTGGGAAAAAATGGATGGGATGCACATGTCCGAGTTGGGAGCAACAGATTATAAACCAAATGTTGAAAAATGATCCTAACTTGTGGCTAAAAATGACAAATGGTCTATTTCCTGCAAACTCATCACTTCAGATCCTAAACTCACGATTTTCTTGACATGGGCGGCAATGCGGGCGACGGTGCCAGTAGCACATTTGAAACCCGATTCTGGACCGGACAGTGTTCTTCAAAGGGGTGTCTTTGAAAAAAAAAGACCAGTCAAAACAATGATGCAATGGTAACTGTGGCAACCCAATTTTCACGCAACCTGCGCCAATGGATTGCGAGAAACCATTTGTTTTAGGGGTTTAATGTAAAAAAACATATATATTATGTTTGTATGTACCCTTCAATCATGCTTTATCAAAACAGATGTTCTTAGCACCAAGACCAGGGTAGTGAACATATCAATCAGGGTAGGGATCTTACCCCTGTATAAACTTCCCTTAAATATATTTAGATATATACATATACCTTGTATCTAAGTACCAAGTGGCTACCTACAACCCCCCCAGAAAATAATTCCGAGTACTGCGCCTGCCACTAAATGTGAGCATTCCAGCAATCCTGTAGCACTAGCACAAGGATGCACAAGGCAAGAGGGCACTCTAATAGCTACAGCATTGAGAAAGCCAAGCAATATACCATGCTTAGCACTTGTAACCTGGCACTTCAATGGTACAGTCTTGCGAAAGCCACGCAGTACCATGCTTGTCTCAAGGCACACTATCACATTGAATGCATACAGTCTTGAGAAGGGGTCCTATGTGGCCGGCTCAGAGGTCCTAAGCGACCTCTTCCAAATCTAGTCCTATGAGGACGCCTGACCTCAGGTGGAAAAACAGTGAAATCATTTAAAACCTGCTTTCTGTGATGTCGTTTTTCCCTGCTCTCTCCTGCTGCTGTTCGCCAGCTGCTGGCTGTAAAAATCTGTAAAATGTACAACCAGGCCGGAGGCACTGTTTTTCCCGTTCTTCCATGCTGATAGCGTGGTTGGGCTTTTGGATTCATGTCAACCCGACAAAGAAGCTAGTGGCCCAAAAGCCAAAAGAAGAAACAACAGACTAGACATGGAAAAAGCCTTAGGCAAGATAGAAGCCGAGACCCGGAATGCATGTCACGTTTTGTCCATGGACGGTAATGCTTGACTCTCTTGCTTGACACTCTTGTAGGACCCTCTTGCTTGACAAACTTGTGGGACACTTTCGCTTGACACTCTTTGGGGACACTCTTGCTTGACACTGTTGTGGGACACGCTTGTAAGACACTCATTCCGGACAATCTTGTGGGACTCTCTTTCAAGGTCTTGCAGAACACGCTTGCTTGAAACTCTTTCCGGACACTCCTGTGGGACACTCTTGCTTGACTCTTGACACTGTTGTGGAACACTCTTACGGGACACTCTTGCTTGACACTTTTTCCGGACACTCCTGTGGGACACTCTTTCAGGATACTCTTGCTTGACACTCTTTCAGAAGTCTTGCTTGAAACTCTTGTGGGACACGCTTGCTTGACACTCTTGTAGGACCCTCTTGCTTGACAAACTTGTGGGACACTTTCGCTTGACACTCTTTGGGGACACTCTTGCTTGACACTGTTGTGGGACACGCTTGTAAGACACTCATTCCGGACAATCTTGTGGGACGCTCTTTCAAGGTCTTGCAGAACACGCTTGCTTGAAACTCTTTCCGGACACTCCTGTGGGACACTCTTGCTTGACTCTTGACACTGTTGTGGAACACTCTTACGGGACACTCTTGCTTGACACTTTTTCCGGACACTCCTGTGGGACACTCTTTCAGGATACTCTTGCTTGACACTCTTTCAGAAGTCTTGCTTGAAACTCTTGTGGGACACGCTTGCTTGACACTCTTGTAGGACCCTCTTGCTTGACAAACTTGTGGGACACTTTCGCTTGACACTCTTTGGGGACACTCTTGCTTGACACTGTTGTGGGACACGCTTGTAAGACACTCATTCCGGACAATCTTGTGGGACGCTCTTTCAAGGTCTTGCAGAACACGCTTGCTTGAAACTCTTTCCGGACACTCCTGTGGGACACTCTTGCTTGACTCTTGACACTGTTGTGGAACACTCTTACGGGACACTCTTGCTTGACACTTTTTCCGGACACTCCTGTGGGACACTCTTTCAGGATACTCTTGCTTGACACTCTTTCAGAAGTCTTGCTTGAAACTCTTGTGGGACACGCTTGCTTGACACTCTTGTAGGACCCTCTTGCTTGACAAACTTGTGGGACACTTTCGCTTGACACTCTTTGGGGACACTCTTGTTTGACACTGTTGTGGGACACGCTTGTAAGACACTCATTCCGGACAATCTTGTGGGACGCTCTTTCAAGGTCTTGCAGAACACGCTTGCTTGAAACTCTTTCCGGACACTCCTGTGGGACACTCTTGCTTGACTCTTGACACTGTTGTGGAACACTCTTACGGGACACTCTTGCTTGACACTTTTTCCGGACACTCCTGTGGGACACTCTTTCAGGATACTCTTGCTTGACACTCTTTCAGAAGTCTTGCTTGAAACTCTTGTGGGACACGCTTGCTTGACACTCTTGTAGGACCCTCTTGCTTGACAAACTTGTGGGACACTTTCGCTTGACACTCTTTGGGGACACTCTTGCTTGACACTGTTGTGGGACACGCTTGTAAGACACTCATTCCGGACAATCTTGTGGGACGCTCTTTCAAGGTCTTGCAGAACACGCTTGCTTGAAACTCTTTCCGGACACTCCTGTGGGACACTCTTGCTTGACTCTTGACACTGTTGTGGAACACTCTTACGGGACACTCTTGCTTGACACTTTTTCCGGACACTCCTGTGGGACACTCTTTCAGAATACTCTTGCTTGACACTCTTTCAGAAGTCTTGCTTGACGCTCTTGTGGGACACACTAACAGAACACTCTTGCTTGACACTCTTGTGGGACACTCTGATAAGACACTAATTCAGGACATTCTTGTGGGATTCTCTTGTCAACACTTTTTCAGGGCATGCTTGCTTGACGCTCTTGTGAGACACTCTTGCCTAAATCGCTTGCTTGACACTCTTTCAGGACACTCTTCCTGACACTCTTTCCGGGCACTCTTGCGGAACACCTCTTCAGGACACACTTGCTCGAACACTCTTTCAGGACATTCTTGTGGGACACTCTTACCGAACACTCTTGCTTGACCCTATTTTAAGACGCACTTGTTTGACACTCCTTCTGGTCACAATTATGGGAGAAGAGGCCAGTCAGAATGTCTCAGAGTGGTTTCAGAGCGGTTTCAGAGCGGTTTCAGACCTATGCACGCAGTAAGGTTAACAATCTAGGTCAAGCAAAGGGCTACTTTGTGAACTACAAAGCTCGCAGAACGTACTTCCGAGTCCTACTATGTATTACAAAGCTAGCAGATCGTACTTCCCAGTGCTACTTTGTACTACAAAGCTTGCAGAACGCACTTCCCAATACTACTTTGTACTGCAAAGCTCGTAGAACGTACCTCTCAGCACTACTTTGTACTACCAGAAGTACCCGCACACGGCGGGGCGGAAGTTGCCTTAGTTGAAGTATAAAGAAGAATAATCTATAGGCTTTCTACGTGCGACGCAATCGCATCCCTACACATTGATGCAAGCGCAAGTCTCTCTTTCTCTTTTTCTCTCTTTGTCAATCCCCTGCACCTTTCTGAAGTTTCAGCAGAGTCTTGCATGTAATCTTGAAATGAGTTAGTGTTCAGAGTATGGCTGAAAGTATGAGTATGAGTGAAAAGAATGTGTATGAGTCCCCGAGAGAAGCTTCTTGTCCACTGGTGCCTGTTGTACAACTTGGCCACTTGTACGCTTCCCAGTACTACTTTGTACTACAAAGGGTCCAGAACGTGCTTCCCCGTGCTACTCTCTAATACAAAGCTTGCAAAGCGTGCTTTCCAGTACTTCCCTGTATTACAAAGCTTGCAAGTACTTCTTTTTACTGCAAAGCTCGCAGAAAGTACTTCCCAGGACTACTTTGTACTGCAAAGCTTGCAGACGTACTTCCCAGTACTACTCTGTAGTACAAAGCTTGCAGAACGTACGTCCCAGCATTACTTTGTACTACAAAGATTCCAGAACGTGCTTCCCCGTACTACTCTGTACTACAAGGCTTGCAGAACGTGCTTTCCAGTACTATCCTGTACTACAAAGCTTGCAGAACGTACTTCCCAGTACTATTTAAGTGTGCTCCTACACTTTGTACATGTAGAGTTGCACGAGGCGGGAGGCGGAAGTTTCAAAAATATAAGAACCCATAGGTCGAGAAAGAAAGCATTTGCCTGTAGGAGGTTTGGGAAAGTGGTTGGCAGCTCTTTGGTCAAGCTTTGTTTGAGATCCCTTTCCTTTGCCATCACTTCCCTCAACATTTTTCCCCTTCTCTGTTTCTTTGTGCTCTCTCACTCGGTTCTCTCTCCGTTTCTGCGTGATTTTTAGGTGCAGTGGCAACTGTCTGCACATGCATGGATGGATGTAGTATCTGTTCTTATCAGTGTGACAACCAGGTTTCACATCGCAATCACCGCAGGCCGCTTAGGCTTCAAAGTAGCTGTCGCATGGCAGCGGAGCCCCTTATTGGGGGCAGGTGAGGCGTTGGTGCCATAGGCGTGGGGCAGAAGGACATCAAGCCCCTGGAACTAGTGTTGCACTGGTCTCCCAATCAGTGCTTGGGAACTTTGTGAAGACCAGCTGCTTAGCAACTTTTCTTGGCCACCAACCTCATCCTGCTGAACCCCAGGAGTATAACGCCGAGATCTTCCTGGTCGCACTTTGAGTTTGAGCCCAAGAATGTCAACACCAGATCCAATGGCTACGCAATCTCCACAAGGTTCACCCTATGGATCTCCTCATGGACAAGCACCAGGAGTTCCATCACAAGGCTTTCAAGCTGCATTTCCTCAAGGGACTGGCCTATCCGAGATGGCTGAGTTGGCCAGAGCAGCTATCAATGCAGCAAACAATGCTGCTGAAGCCGCAAGAGCAGCTACACAGGCTTCAAGCTCTACAAGTGAGAAGAAAAGGGACCTCTACCACCTGATTCTCAGACCAGCAACTTTCTCGCCATCAGACCGTGCACAAGAGGTGAGCCTATGGCGTGATTGGTTTTGGGGACTACGTCAATACCTTTTGTTCATCGACGGAAAATATGAGGAGGACCTGGAGTATGTGGAGCGCTCTGATGTTCAGGAGGTGGACTGGGACCTATTAGATGAAGAAGAGCAGCATCGAGGAAGGTTTCTATATGCAGGGCCGGTTGTTGAGCTTGGTGAGGAACATAGACAAGAGCAACGGTCTAGAGGCCCTGAGACAGCTGGTGATGAATTGCCAACCTAAGGCACGAAATCGAATTATGTCCATGCTACAGGGCATTATGGGGTATATCCAGCATTCAACATGAAGGGCCCCATCATCGCTCAGGTGGTCAGACTGGAGGAGCACTTTACCCAGTTTGAGAAGCTTGGTGGTAAGCTCACAGACGAGATGTGGGCGGCTGTGCCCTTGAAGTGCGTCTCGGGACCTTTGAAAGTTCACTTGAACTTGTCGCTGAATGAATCCTCCAGCTATGCCAAGATCAGAGAGGTCATTCGAGCCTATGACACCGCCACTGCACGTTTGTTCAGATGCAACCATCACTTCATTCCCTTTGCAGCCTCTCCAAGACTCTACTGGTACTATGCCTATGAAGGTGGACAGGATCAAGGGAAAGAGTGGAGGCAAAGGGAAGAAGGGCAAGGATGGGAAAGGGAAGTCGAAGAGCAAAGACCAGAAGGGCAAGGGCAAGAACCAGAACCAAGCACCTTGGAGCTCTACGTCGACTACCTCATGGACATCTTCATCAAAGGGCGGTGGAAAAGGAGATCAGAAAGGATCCAATGAGAAAGGCAAGGGCAAATCCAAGACCAAGGAGGTTGGAGTTTGCTACAATTGTGGCCGTCCTGGACGCATGGCAAAGGACTGCTGGAGGATCAGGCAGGTTGGAAGTCCAGACCCATCTGCCACAGTTGTGAGCCAAGCCACAGCCCAAGAGAGTTTGGGACCTTCTGCAAGTCAGGTCAACGCTGGTTTGTCTGTGAAGAGGATTACCTCGAGTTCAGATGGAGGCCAAGCTGCGTCTCACGAGACTTTTGACTTGAGATCGACAGGAGCCTCAAGCTGGGAGCATGTGAAAATGAGGATCAGCATGTGCCGGAACAGCCCAAGAGAGTTTGGGACCTTCTGCAAGTCAGGTCAACGCTGGTTTGTCTGTGAAGAGGATTACCTCGAGTTCAGATGGAGGCCAAGCTGCGTCTCACGAGACTTTTGACTTGAGATCGACAGGAGCCTCAAGCTGGGAGCATGTGAAAAGTGAGGATCAGCATGTGAGAATGGTGAAATTCTTTTACATCGATGAGGAGGAAGACAGTTCAAAGCGCTACGGAAGTTCAAGGTGCTGCCCAGAACTATGAGGTGGGCAAGGGTGAGGTGACCATCATCATCGACAGTGGAGCTGATGCGCAGGTGTTTCCAATTTCGATGATTCACTGTGGCAAGAGCCATGATGGCCAAGCTGTTGCCCTTCAAGATGCCCAGGGTCGTCAAATCCCTGTTGCTGGCCAGAGGTCGATTGCAGTTGTGTTGGAGGACGTGAATGGAGCTGAGATTGAATTCCTCGACAATGTGATCTTTTCAAGTGAGATCACGCAGCCGATCTTGAGCTATGGGCGCCTGATGCATGCAGGCTGGAGCATCTGCGCTGAGTCCAAATGCCTCAGGAATGGTGCCTTCGAGATCCCGGTGGAGCTGCAAAACCACAGTTTGGTGGTGAAAGGCCATGTCAGAGCCATCAACTCTGTGGCCATGCCATGCTCATTTCGAGCAGTCAAAGCAGATTTGACTGAAGGTTTGCAGAACTATGTGGACAACGCTTTTGGATGGAGCAAGGAAGGCAGTCGATGGATTGGAGTTCATCTGAGTTCTCAACATCAAAATCCTTTCTTTGTGCCCAATATCGACTATGGCATCGAGTGGTAAAGGACGACGCTCATCAAGAAGAACCAGGAGTGGCTCATGGTGGAGTTCTGCGAGCGCGTCACTGAGATGTTGGATCCAGAGCTGCCTATTGATGAGACTGCAGGGTGAACTAGTGTGGTCACGTTCCTGACAGATGGCTTCGAGGACGTTGAGAACATGTGCTTTTCAGCTGAAGATGGAAGAGCGTTGGAGGAGCTGGAAGCTCTTGAGATGGAGATTCAGCCTTACCTGGACATCCCCATGGATGAGGAGTTGGAAAGGCGTGGGGCTGAAGTGGCTCTACATCCTGAAGCTCAAGCTGATGCAGGGGAAGTTCACGGTGATGATGGACCAGGAGCTCATCAACCTTGTGACGGTGGAAGAGTTCAGGATCCACCACTGGAAGTTGAACCTTTGCAGGAAGTCCAGATTGTGGTCGGTGAAGTGGTCCCTGCACAGATTGAGGTGGATGGGCAAGTTCTGACAGCTGCCAGCTAGCAACGCTGAGGGCTACATGTGGTTTCTACGGTGTTGCTCGTTCTGGAAGCAAATCGAAGTGCTATCATCGACTATGCCAACACCATGAAGACCATCGAGCTTTGCTCAGACGCTGGTGAAAGCCCCAAGTGACCAGGAGAAGGAGCTGCACGCTCTCACTCATACGCCCTATGCTGCGTGGTGCCCTGCATGCCTCAAACACAGAGCACGCCCTGACCAACACCGCAGATCTGGAACTTCACATGATACTCCTGTTCCAGTGGTGTCAATGGACTTTGCGGTGACCAAGAAGAAGGATGGATTGGATCCAAACCCTGAAGGAGCCGCTGATGACAAAGGAGCTCTATGGCTAGTTCTCACTGACCGCCACGCAGGGTACTTGGGATGCATTCCAATCCAGTCCAAGGGTCAGCTGCACTACATGACCCATGAAGTGTTGAGCTTCGTCCAGGGCCTTGGATACTCAGAAGTTGGCTTCTATGGCGACAATGAGCCATCGATCAGGCAGATCTTGAAGACTATCATCACCTCCAGACATGCCCTTGGATTGAAGACCAGGATCTACACCACAAAGGTGAAAGACTCAGCTGGCAATGCTTTGGCTGAGAACGACATCCAGAGGATACGTCAACTGGCATGCACACTGGTCGAGGATGTCTGTGAGAGAACTGGCCTGGTGTTCCCCTGTGAGCATGCCATCTGGAGTTGGGCTGGACGTCGTGCAGCTTGGTGTTTGAATCGATATCAGGTTGGCAAGTCCTTAACGGCGGCCTACGAGGTGACCCACGGCAAGAAGTACGCTGGTAAAACAGCATGCTTTGCAGAACCAGTCTATGCATACTGCAAAGGACGTGGGAAGGCCGATGCGACATGGAGAGTTGGGCTGATGCTTGGGAAAACGGAGGCCCAGGATGCTTGGGTGATTGGAGATGGAGTGGACGTTATGCTCAGCAGAAGCATCAGAAGAGTGGATCATCCATGGAGCCGCTTCTTGGCATACTACTCAGGGCTCCAGACTCACAGCTTTGTCTACCAGACCAACTTTGGTGGAAGAATCGCGCCGACCAAACACAAGGTCATTCCTCAGCGCCAAGATGGAAGACTCCTTCCAAAGATGAGTGAAGTGGAGGAGATACGCTGATGAAGAGGCACATGCTGTGTATGCCAATTCACGTGAAGGTCGACTGTAAGCCCAACGTGAAGTTCCAGAAGCATTGGAATCTTCGCCAGAGCAACCACCACCTGGAGTTGCTGTTCCTGTGGATGAACCACCAGAAGTTCCACTCCAAGCTCTCGGTGACCAAGGACCTCCTTCAGGACAATCCCAACCAAGCAATGCCGCTCTTCTTTCCAACCAGCATCACCACGATCTTCTGCGCTGGTACATCAAGATCCTTCTCAAGGAGCTGTTGAAGGTGAAGAGCCCAGTGCAAAGAGGACGAGGCATGAGATAAATGTGGCAAGGAGGATCATGATGGTGGAAAGACGTTTGGTGGAAATCAACCTCAACAACGAGAAGTACTAGCACCTGGACAATGTGGTGGATACTCAGTATGTCAGTGCCTTCGAGTTCGAAGAGAACGAGATTCAGGACGATGTGATGGCCAATGTCGATGAGATGGATCTGTTGTGGTCAGATGAGCCACTGGCAGGAATGCCTCAAGATCCAGATCCTGAAGTTGACCTCTTGGCAGATGCAGTGGAACTCCAAAGACTTCAGAAAATGGGTGTCATCGAAGTTCTTACACCCAATGATGCTGGCCTGAGTTCATTGACTACGAGAATGGTCTACGACTGGAGGATCAAGGATTGGACTGATCCAAAGACAGGCCAAAGTCGAAGACGGTGGATGAGGAGAGCCCGGCTGGTAGCACGAGAGTATGCAAACCATCGCCGAGATGATGTCCATTCTCCAGCTTCCAATGGACAGATCATGAGGCTTCTCCCTGCAATCTACCTGATGATGCTTGGAGTTGAAGGAGTTTCCCAAGACCAACTTCAAATAGGGGCACTCGACATCAAGGACGCTTTCTTGATGGCAAGTCAGGAGGAGCCGGTCCAGATCACCACCAAGAAGGGCAAGTTCAAAGTCCTGAAGAATTTACCAGGGCAACGCATGGCGGCAAAGGCCTGGTATGACTACTTTGCCGACTTCCTGGAGAAGAAAGGGGTGCAGTTCTCCACAGAAAACCCCTGCTTGGGCAAACGTGGTGACAAGCTCTTCATCTTGTTGCACGTGGACGACATGATGGTCAGTGGCTTCAAGGATGAGGTTCAGAAGCTTTTGAAAGAGCTCAAGACAGAGTTTGTCATCTCCCACAAGATTGCTCAGTTCCCTGGAGATGAGTTCGAGTTCCTGAAGAGGACCTATCGCCTCTGTGAAGATGGGTTGGATGTGCTGCCGATATGCTGAAACAATGTTTAAGAGCTTCAAAAAAAATATGGTCATGTGAAAGGCCAACAAGTGCCATGTGGAGATGAGGCTCAGGAGATCTCCAGCACAGTACTTCTTCCTCCTGATGAAGCTGCACTTTTTCGATCTATGGTTGGAAGCGGGATCTATTTGCCACAGGAGCGGATCGAGCTGGGGTATGTCATCAAACATGCAGTTGGCATCAGGTATGAGCAGCCCAACCTATGGCCACTTGCAGGTGATGAAGAAACTGGTCATTTACCGTAAGGTGAGCATGGGCAACTACAACCACCTTCAGATCCCTAGCTATGGCAAGGGTATCCATCACCACTATGATGGCAAGTGGATTGGTCAGGAGACCGCGTTTCAAGGCGAAGTACCAGCAGCTGCGTCCATTGCTTGAATGGCATAGTGCTGTGCCCTGGCTGTGCCACAGCAGCCGAGGACAGAAAGTCGTGAGCCTTTTTTCTGCAGAATCAGAGCTGCATGGGCTTGTCAGTGGAGCCGTGGATGGAATAGCTCTCAGAGTTTCCCTGGAGTTCCTGCTGAATGTGAAGGTACAGCATGTGTGTCTGATTGACAACTCAGCAACCAGACAGATATCAAACAAACGAGGAAGCAGCAGACTTCGTCACGTCTCTGGAAAGCTGCTATGGGTGCAGGACCAAACCAGTGCCAAGACCTTGGAGGTGAAACAAATTGGCACGGCGTTCAACATTGTTGACATCGGGACAAAGCCCTTGGGAAGCCATCGCCTTTATGCTTTGATGTTTTGGTGCAACCTCCGGGACCAGAACGGCAATCAAGGTGAAGGAGAACAACATGACCAAAGCCAAGATCATGCGTGTTGCCAAACTCCTTCAATCCTTTGTTCTTTTCAGCGGCCTTGAGCAGGCTAGCGGTGAGCTTGTGCCCTTCCGCATGGACCTCGAGACGGTCATCCTCTATGAGGAGAAGGTTTGGTTTTCCTTTGAAGTGATCTTCATCATGCTCTTTGTGGTCATGCTTGCGGGTTTCTTTTTCATGTACAAGGCCAACAGGAAGCTGCAGCAAGAGCTTCAACGTGTTCAGCATCAACAGCAACAAATGGTGGGACGTCAAGGAGAACTCACCATGGAGATCGCAATGCTGCAGATACATGTGAATGCGCTGCACGTGGCTTCAATGAGACTGGGAGGCTACGTGGATCTGAATGTGCCCATCACTGAAAGAGATTGGGACAATTTGAGGTACATTGAGCGTGGAAACCGCATTGAAGATGATCGAGTTTGCAGGCGTGGACTACGTCACCTTCGAGTCAGCACGAGAGCATTGCGCAGGAGGAGACATTCCACACCACCTGCTGCTGATCGACATCTACATGCTGATGCAAGCAGATCTCGAGATGGAGATGGTACTCCTCCAGAAGAGATGACCCAGGAGGAGTACAATCGAAGAATGGAGTCAGAAGATCCAGAAGACTGGCCAGCTGAACCTGCTGAAGAACGCCGACGACGCTACATGCAGTCAACAATGTCGGAATGCTCAGATCCAGATGAATGGATCCAGATGCACCACGGTGAGCCTGGGAGTGGACTCTATTTGCAGGGCGACGAGGAGGAGCACCCTACTGAAGATGAGTCTCCGGTGCCCAGTGAGCGTGACACTGTGATGAGTGAGTTCATGAAGCAGGAGTATCTGGAATGGCCAAGTCATGACTTCAGCGCTTCTCATGACAGAGCTCAACTGTCGGCACTGCAGTGGATCAACGACTTCAGCCAGAGGCGAGCCAGAGCAATTGCAGATGGGAACGAGCGATTGGCAGATTGGTGTCACAGCAAAATAGGCTTACACCAGCCCTATAGCAGGTCAGGCACGACCACCTTGGAAGTACAGAGATGAAATGGCCAACCAACATGGTAAGCCATTCCAAGGAGGAGTGCGTGACTTTTAGGCGCAGTGGCAAATGTCTGCACATGCATGGATGGATGTAGTATCTGTTCTTATCTTCAAAACAGCTGTCGCAGTTTCCCTCTCTCTCTCTCTCTTTCCCTTTGTGTCTGTCTTTCTGATGGATGTAGGCTTATGTTTATTTGACAGTAAATTGCCAGATGTTAACGGAATGGTATGCATGGGATAGTGTAAGGTTGGTATTTGAAAAAGCTATGATTTGCATCAAAATAAATCACAAGGATATGGAATCCTCTGGTTTCATGGTTTTCATTCAAAAGACGTAACACCTTCCCAATTTGGCATCACCTGCAGCGGAAGGGCCAGATGGGATATAAACCCCATATTTACTACACCTGCTGGGTGACCGGAAAATCTAAACTTCAAAAAAAAGGTGATGACATACCACCATTTCATTTACCACTGCCTACTAAAAAAAATATTGGCCCCAATATACCCCGATATCGCCGTAAACGTTTAGCCATGTGGTTTATAGCATGAGTATTGAGCACAGTTTAAAGGCGCTGTCAAGGCTCAAGAGAGATATAGAGGCTGTAGACTAGGCGCAGTACTGACTTGGCTAATTGGCCTGAGGGTGAAAACTTAGTTGAAAACCATGCCAGAAGCAGCACGCAGGATGTGTGCTCTCACCACTCTCATCTGTGATGCAGTGTGTGTGTGTGTGCATGGTTTTGCGCCTGCACGCTCAAGTTTGTCAAGGACAAAAGTGCAGCTGAGTGTGTGACACTGGAGAAGGCTAACATAGCAAAACAAACGAGAGCAAGATCAACAAAGTACAGCTGAAGCTGTATCTAGCAGAAACGACATCCAAAGTAAGCACTTGGACCCTCTAGGTGATCTTGGGAATCAACTTTTGGATTTGCTTCGATGGAAAGTGTTGGCTCGCCCACCACCACAACCAAATCATTGAATACCGAAGTCTGGGCTCAATACTTTTATGTTACACGCCCTCCCTTCCCCGGAGACGGCCGCGCTGATCCCTGGGGGGGGATGAACTCGGCTTTCTTTGTCTAGCCCGCTTTCATGTGGCAATGTATGTTCTGCCTAATCCGTACAGCGAAAGGCCATCGAGGGTACTACAGCCAGCCGTCTTTGCCTAGTCCACTTTTTTGTGACAAAATGAGCCTGTCTAATCCCTACAGCTAAAGGCTATGAGGGTACTACAGCACGCGGCCTTTGTCCACTGCGTACAGGAGTGCGCGTCTGCTTTGCTTCCCGTTGCGACCTCCTGTGTGTGTACGAGTTGCAAACCGTTTTCTAACATGAAAACCTCGCGGAAGTATTGTGCTTGTCACACAGAGTGTTTTTTGACATTTTCTCGGACACATGAGAATGTCACGAAGTGCCACGCCTGCCAGGCAAAACGACATCACAATCTTCTGACACCCTCAACATGGGTATGGCGACATCACAGCAAAACGGACATGTCGGAGGCTCAAAACGAGCATTTCGCGCGAGACTTCTTCGATTTTTCACATGTCAGAGCTACCAAGTCGACGTATTCCTAGGATTTTTCTCATGAACCTCAAATTGTGATATCTCAAAATCGACGTTTTGCCTAAGGCTTCCGTCAATTTTTGAGGAGATGTCGCAAAGCGCCACGCGTTCCAGGTAATTTGCATGTCGTTACGGCTTCATGCGCCCCTGCCAATGCAATTTGCAAACAAGGTGGGCCAGAGAACCCAAAAGCAAGACGGCGCACAGCACACCTTTTTTAAAATTCAGTGGTGCGGGCAGCTGTGCCCTGCACGACATCGACGCAATATCTTTATGAAGACATCGTGAACACTGATGGTATCAGGGGCCACAATTCGCCACAGCATGCTGCCTCAGCTACATTTGCATTTTTTGAGTCGCTATTTCTCCTAATGTGACTCTATCCCATCTTTCTAGTCGCTATTTATGCTTGTGTTTTCGTTTAGCTTGCTTCGCCGCAGGGGAAGTGAGGACGAAGCAGCTCCTCTGTGTAACGACTTCTCTGTGTAAAAGCCCATCCTAAAGATTTCTCTGGGTAAAAGACTCCTCTGTGTAAAAGTTTCTGTGTGTACAAGTTTTTCTGTGTAAGAGCTACTCTGTGTAAAAGCTTCTGTGCGGAAAGGCTTCTGTGTGCAAGCATGTCTGTGAGTAAAGACTCCTCTGTTGAAACGCCTCTGTGTGTAAAAGCTTCTGCGTGTAAAATCTCCTTTGTGTAAAGGCTGCTGGTGTCATAAAAGTTTCTGTCCATAAAAGCTTCTGTGCGTAAAATCTCCTCTGTGTAAAGACTTCTCTGTGTAAAAGCTCCTCTGTGTAAAGACTTCTCTGCCTAAAAGACTTCTCTGTGTAAAAAACTTCTGTGTGTAAAAAGCTTCTGTGTGTAAAAGCTCCTGTGTGTAACAGCTCCTCTGTCTACAGGTTTGTTTGTGTAAAAGCTTTTTTGTGTAAAGTCTTCTGTGTGTAAAAGCTTCTGTGTGCAAACGTTTCTTTGTGTAAAAGCTTCTGTGTGTAAAAGCCCCTCTGTGTAAAGACTTCTCTGCCTAAAAGACTTCTCTGTGTAAAAGCTTTTTTGCGTAAACCTTTTTCTGCGTAAAAGACTTCTCTGTGTACAGGCTTTTTTGTGTACAAGCTTCTGTGTGTAAACGTTTCTTTGTGTAGAAAGCTTCTGCGTGTAAAAGCTCCTCTGTGTAGAGACTTCTCTGTGTAAACGCGTCTGTGTGTAAAGGCTCCCCTGTGTAAAGGCTTCTCGGTGTCAAAGCTTCTCTGTGTAAAAGCTTCTGTGTGTAAAAGCTTTCCTGCGTAAACGATTCCTTGTGCAAAAGATGCTGTGTGTAAACGCGTCTGCGTGAAAATAGAAACCACCTGCAGCAACAAACATTTTGCCGTTCATGTCCCATTTTTCAGCCTTTGGAAACCGTGTGAGCAGTCTTGGGACCGTTTGACCAGTCTTGGGTCCACAATTTTTTTTAGGACAATCGCAATGATGAAATTTGTCCTGAAAAAACCGTGCCAACAGCTTAAATTAGCCGCACCAACAGCTCTGCATTCAGCTTTCCCCAAGCCATTTCGACGGCTTGAATGCTGTCTCGCTCCCTCCCAGCAAAGCTCTCCTCAAGCTATTTGCACGGTTTCCTCTCCGTCCAGCATGCTGTATCGCGTCTGTCCAGCATGCTGTCTCGCTCCCTCCCAGCGAAGCTCTCCGCAAGCTATTTCCACGGTTTCCTCTCCGTCCAGCATGCTGTATCGCTCCCTCCCAGCGAAGCTCTCCGCAAGCTATTTCCATGGTTTCCTTTCCGTCCAGCATGCTGTATCGCTTCTTCCCAGCGAAGCTCTCCGCAAGCTATTTCCACGGTTTCCTCTCCGTCCAGCATGTTGTATCGCGTCTGTCCAGCATGCTGTCTCGCTCCTTCCCGGCGAAGCTTTCTGCAAGCTATTTCCACGGTTTCCTTTCCGTCCAGCATGCTGTATCGCTCCCGAAGCTCTCCGCAAGCTATTTCCACGGTTTCCTATCCGTCCAGCATGCTGTCTCGCTCCTTCCCAGCGAAGCTCTCCACAAGCTATTTCCACGGTTTCTCTCCGTCCAGCATGCTGTGTCGCTCCCTCCCAGCGGAGCTCTCCGCAAGCTATTTCCATGGTTTCCTCTTCGTCCAGCATGCTGTATCGCTCCCTCCCAGCGAAGCTCTCCGCAAGCTACTTCCACGGTTTCCTCTCCGTCCAGCATGCTGTATCGGACTGTATCGCTCCCTCCCAGCAGAGCTCCCCCAAAGGTATTTACACGATTTCCTTTCCGTCCAGCATGCTGTCTCGCTCCGTCCCAGCGAAGCTCTCCGCAAGCTATTTCTATGGTTTCCTTTGCTGTATCGCTCCCTCCCAGCGAAGCTCTCCGAAAGCTATTTCCACGGTTTCCTCTTCTTCCAGCATGCTGTCTCGCTCCCTCCCAGCGAAGCTCTCCGCAAGCTCTTTCCACGGTTTCCTTTCCATCCAGCATGCTGTCTCGCTCCCTCCCGGCGAAGCTCTCCGCAAGCTATTTCCATGGTTTCCTCTCCGTCCAGCATGTTGTATCGCTCCCTCCTCTTTCCACGGTTTCCTCTCCGTCCAGCATGCTGTATATCGCTCCTTCCCAGCGAAGCTCTCCGCAAGCTATTTCCACGGTTTCCTCTCCGTCCAGCATGCTGTATCGCTCCCTCCCAGCGAAGCTCTCCGCAAGCTATTTCCACGGTTTCCTCTCCGTCCAGCATGCTGTCTCGCTCCCTCTCCGCAAGCTATTTCCATGGTTTCCTCTCCGTCCAGCATGCTGTATCGCTCCTTCCCAGCGAAGCTTTCCGCAAGCTATTTCCACGGTTTCCTCTCCATCGCAGGCTGTTTGCTCCCTCCCGGCGAAGCTCTCCGCAAGCTATTTACACGGTTTCCTCTCCGTCCAGCATGCATTATCGGTCCCTCCCAGCGGAGCTCTCCGAAAGCTATTTACACGATTTCAGCATGCTGTCTCGCTCCCTCCCAGCGAAGCTCCCCGCAAGCTATTTCCACGGTTTCCTCTCCGTCCAGCATGCTGTATCGCTCCCTCCCAGCTAAGCTCTCCTTCCTGGCACCTTCCGTCCTCCCTTTGTTCCTTCGTTCCTTCCTTCCTTCCTTCCTTCCCTCCCTCTCCTTCCTTCCTTCCTTCCTTCCTTCCTTCTTTCCCTTCCTTCCGCACCTTCCGTCCTCTCTTCCTTCCTTCCTCCCTTCCTTCCTTCCTCCCTTCCTTCCTTCCTTCCTTCTTTCCTTCCTTCCCATCTCCTTCCTCCCTTCCTTCCTTCCTCCCTTCCTTCCTTCCTTCCTTCTTTCCCTTCCTTCCTTGCGCCTTCCGTCCTCCCTTCCTTCCTTCCTTCCCTCCTCCCTTCCTCCCTTCCTTCCTTCTTTCCTTCCTTCCCATCTCCGTCCATTATGCTGTATCGCTCCCCCGCGGCAAACGAGAACCT